CTGTGTACACAATGGGTTTTAGACTGACTCGGGCTTTGGTCACACACCAACTGGAAACCAACCTTAGGCCCTCTTCAAGCATGGTTTGATGAAATCGCATCAACTTTGGTCTTGTCAAAAGTAGTGCACCTGGAAATATTCATCAATGATACCCTTGAAAATAACAATAAAATAGCAGCTTGAAAAGACCGTTTGAAAATATTAAAACTTATCTTAAGATTCAAAATATCTTCATTAAAAACAAGAACACAATAAATGTAAACTTTTATAAATTTTTGAGTTTTGTTTCGTTTATATTTCTCTTTGGTCTTGTGGATTTTTCACTAAAATTTCGAGTTTGTCTGTCCGTCATAAAAATAAAAGTCAAGTTATTTTCGTTAAAAGTATGAAAAAATGTTTGTATCATGATTGTAATATTTGGTTAACTTGAAAACAAACAGATCCATAGTATGAAAAGTCTAAATAATTGACCACTTCTTCTGAGACGTGTCACGGGGAGTTACAGGTGACGGATGGCCACAAGGTGTGAGGCCTGCTGGAGGTTCATTTTGGTGACGGATGGCTGCAAGATGTGAGACCTCCTGGAGGTTCATTTTGGTGACGGATGGCTGCAAGATGTGAGACCTCCTGGAGGTTCATTTTGGTGACGGATGGCTGCAAGATGTGAGACCTCCTGGAGGTTCATTTTGATGGGTGTTTTAGGCTGTCGATAACACGGTCAATCCAGCGACGGCGTTGCCTTCCTCTGATTGTGAAGATGGAGTGCACGCTATTGTACTTAGTGCCTGCTATTGTACCGAGTGCACGCTATTGTACTTAGTGCCTGCTATTGTACTTAGTGCCTGCTATTGTACCGAGTGCACGCTATTTTACTTAGTGCCTGCTATTGTACCGAGTGCACGCTATTGTACTTAGTGCCTGCTATTGTACCGAGTGCACGCTATTGTACTTAGTGCCTGCTATTGTACCGAGTGCACGCTATTGTACTTAGTGCCTGCTATTGTACCGAGTGCCCGCTATTGTACTTAGTGCCTGCTATTGTACCGAGTGCACGCTATTGTACTTAGTGCCTGCTATTGTACCGAGTGCCTGCTATTGTACTTAGTGCCTGCTATTGTACTTAGTGCCTGCTATTGTACCGAGTGCACGCTATTGTACTTAGTGCCTGCTATTGTACTTAGTGCCTGCTATTGTACTTAGTGCCTGCTATTGTACCGAGTGCATGCTATTGTACTGAGTGCCTGCTATTGTAATGAGTGCCTGCTACTTGCTTGAGTGCCTGCTATTATACTGAGTGCCTGCTAATGTAAGCTTGCAATGCAGGCTGGCTGATATTGACAGGCATTCTGACCAGGTGGAAAAAGCCACTTAATGTGTTTTTGGGCCATGTACTGGCTTATTGGGATGGCACCAACCGTTGTCTCATTTCCTGTTCCCAACTGTGGTTCTTTTTTTTTGTTTTTTGTTTTAATAGCTGCTCGCCTTAACGATATCATTTTGTTGGTGAATATGAGACTTTTTTTTATTAAGGGACCAGGTTTGACATGTGTAAGAAAGGGTTGTAATAAAGTGTTCTTTCAACTTCGCTTTTAACATTTGACTTTAAATCAAAATTCATTACACGTTGTTTTCCCAAACAATAAACACAATTAAGACTTTTTGTGTGCTTTCTTACGCCTCAAGATAAAACTTACAAGAAGTGATTATTAATTGTATTACAATAATTTACTTCTATTACAACTAGAATAAATGACCCGATGTTATCGGGATGATAAAGGTAGATCCTTTGCGATAATTTCTACCTGTTATTGCAAAAACTCATCACAATTCCTAACTTTAAAAAGAAGTATCTATGTAATGATCAGGCAGTTTGACATGTTGTATCACATGTTCGCGGACGATACACAACTTCATCAATCCGTGATCACTTCTCAGTTCCCTCAGCTGCTCAGTATGACACAGAAGACAATGGAGTCGGTAAAGCACTGGATGACCACAAACAAGCTCAAATTAAATGATGATAAGACTGAGCTGCTCCCCATTGCGACCGCTCAGAAGCAGAAATCTGCAAATAACACGACATCCATTACTCTCTCAGGTGTGCGTATTGAGTTAGCTCAAACAGTGCGGTACCTGGGTGTCTACCTAGATAGAAGACTAACTTTTGAAAGTCATATTAACATGCTATGCAGGGCGATTTTTCTGGAGCTGCGCAGGATTAGTCAAATCAGGCCCTTCCTAACAATTGATACAACAAAGAGGCTGATGTCTGCATTTGTGCTATCACGCATGGACTATTGCAATGCTCTCATGGTGGGTCTTCCAGCTACGCTCCTGGATAAAATTCAAATAGCACAGAATAATGCGGCTCGCATAGTTCTCCGCAAACGCAAATTCGACCATGCAAAAACACTTCTGAGAGAGTAGCATTGGCTGCCGGTGCGTGCTCGCATAGAGTACAAAATCGCAACTTTGTGCTACCGCTGCTTACATGACCTGGCGCCGTCCTATCTGAAAGAGCTGCTGACGCCTTATGTACCCAGTAGAGAGCTCCGCTCATCCGATAGTGGCAAACTCTCGACACCACGTGTTTGCCTTGAGACTTACGGAAAGCGCACTTTCGCATTTGCTGGTCCAACAATTTGGAACGCCCTTCCTGTCGATCTTAGAAACAACCAGACACTGGAGTCCTTTATAACCGATCTAAAGACACATCTATTTCGCAAATACCTTCTGGGATGATTGTCTACCTTATTTTCCATGTGTTGCTGTGTTGCTCCGGGTTGAAATGGCTAGAAAGACTTTGATATTGTATGCTTGTAATTAGTTTTTGTAGTGTTGCGTTTGTTTTAAATGTGGTGAATTATATATATGTTTTTTGTTGACTTTGTACCGCGCTTCGAGCCTTTGGGGATGAAGCGTGTTTTTGAAATGAACTTTATTATTATTATTATTACGTTTCTAAAATTAAGTTTTGAGAAATATATCTGCTATATATTATACTCTTACCCTACTCCATTCGAAGCCCCTAAATTACACCCCCTCCCCTCTAAACATGTCCTTAAATTACCAAATTTAAATAATCACTAATTATATCCCTTTTGTCACAAAAGAAGTTAATTGAGGGACGATTTCTACACTAGAGAAATACTTTAGATTTACCCATTTTCCCGTCATTGAGCTATAACATTTTTTCTATAAATTCTGAAAACATAATCTTAAATTTACAACAAAAACTCTATATATGATATAAATATATTTTATATTAAAGGAATTTGATATGTTACTATCTTCATCAAAAATTTAAACAAACTTTTGCCTTGTTTTTTTAAATAATACATTTTAAAAAAATCGTAAAAGAAACATTCTTTTATCTAAAGAAGAATCTCGCAACCATTTTTCCCGTCTATAAAAGACTTGAGTGGTTTTTGTTTTGTTTAAAGTGTTAATCTCATAAAAATACACACCCAATTTACTTTTTCCAAAGTAAAAACGAAAATGTATTTTCATTAAAAAAAAAAGAAAATATTAATCCATCTCCATTTTTCAAAATTAAAATTTTAAATGTGCAAAATGATTAAGTTTTGATATTCATGGGTATACTAAATACTTATATAAACGTACCCCCATTTTGTTAAATCCATTGATTTTCTTAATTGGTAAACATATGATTTTTTTTGTAAAAAGAGAATTTAACATCTCTTTATGCACACATTTAATATCACAGGATTTAAATATATTGTCATCCCATTAAAAATGTACACATCCCATTTCCTACCTCCGATATGTATGTACCCAAGAAAGTTAATTATTTATCAAATTCATTCCTTTATTTTGAGACTACCTTGCGCTGCCCGGGGCAAAAGGAACATCCCAATCCCCCCCCCCCCCCCCCCTCAAATAAAAAAAAAAAAANCCCCCCCCCCCCAGATTTAAATAAAATTAATAAAAATCTACCACCGGCTTTTAGTCCCTTCTATACCCAAACGAACATATTTTGCTCTTCATATGGTTTGTTCTTATTTGTATGAATTATACGTGGATTAGTGAATGCCATTTGGTTATGGATTTTCGCTGCACTGATTGACTTAAACTGCACTTTCTTATTAGAAGGTTAGGTTTTTAATACGATATAAATTTAATAAAAGTATATTTTTGGAATTTAAAAAAGTAAAAACTTATTTAGTGTTAAAAATACAAAGCAAAAATTTATGAATGTTTTATTAACAATTTAAAAGCAATCGATTATTTAATTTAGTAATTTTACTTTAAAGAATTTTCCCGAATTTTGGCCCACCCCTGGGGGGAGGGGGTCCTAACCCTAGGTAAGCCATTTTGCTCGATCTCAAAGTTGATGTTACCATCCCAGACTTATGGATTAGCCTTGCCGATCATTGGATTTATTGACTTGACACAGTCACCATTTGTTGCGACCTTGTTCTCAAAAGGTACTCAATTGTCACAAATACCATAGGTTGTGTCTTTGCTCTGAAGGTATTCAACTTTGTCAAAGTCACCATATTGCGCACTGGCTCACAAGATGGACTTCTCTGTCAGTTAACTTCTTTTGCAATTTTGTCTCAATATACTCATCTGTCAGTCAACATCTTTTGCGATTTTGGTCTAACTATATTCAAATCTGTCACAGTCACCATATTTTGCGATTTCAGCGTCCATTGTATTCCTTGCCTTGTGTCATGCGAATCTAATGACATATTCATAAGCAATGCTTATTTTAAAAGAAAAATGGTGCTGGAACTGAAACTCACATTTGTTTAACTTTAAACAAATATACATTTAGATAACCTAAGTCATATTCCACTGAGACTAGGTGCCGGAAAGCCACCCCGGTAGTTTTTATGGGAATAAAAGCAATGTTCCCAAGTAACGACTTCAAACTGACAACAGAACGACGTACATCATAATTAAAAAGAACAAGAATCGATATTACATTTTGCATTATATCAACATTTATTGCTAACACCGTCCAGAGAATAGTTGGGCGGTGTCAACTCAGTTGGACGCTGTTATACATTGCTCACAGAATAGAATAAAATACATTTGTCTATAAATACTTCCAAAAGAATCGTGTTTAACATGAAATGGAACAACTTATTAGATTCTCTGTACTACGTTAGTCTGCGTGTGCTGTCGTGTTGGTTGGTTTCTCTCGTTTATTCTCTCCCATCTTTTTGTTTCTTAGCTATTTGAAGTCAATGTTTTTAAGTTGTGATGTTATATGCTGGCGTCTGATAGGGTCGGGATATTTTTGTTATTTGGCGGGTCGTCCATATATGACGTCAAAATATGAGGAGCTATTTAAACTCGGACCTTTTAAGAAAGGTGAAAATTAAGGAAAAACAAAACACATTAAAAACTTAGAGCAGTTTAAAGAATGAAACAAGAAAACAGCGTTTAAATCAAGTTCTGGCTCTTCAGCTTATTGCCGAGCCAATCTATGGTTTAAAAATAAAAGACATACATTTTAAAAAATACATTGAGCGAAATCAAAGTGAGAACTCCAGTCTCGTTTTCACACATCGTCGACTATGTCTATCTCCCCACTCCCACCAACCCCCCTCCATTGGCCACGCCCCTCGTTGTCTGACGTCATACATGGACCGTTCCCCCAGGGAAGGGATTTGATAAAAAAAAAATATTAATTGAGTTGTACATAAGAAACACATAATTGTGTGCTCAAGTAGGAAACAGCAGGACATTAAAATCTGTGCCTATTCCATGTCTTCAGATTCGAAACTATTGAATGTAACACTATGTACATCGTATTAGACTCTCCATCCTTTTTCTAAGATGTTTTTCATTAAAACTAATCATTCAGTGTACATAACAGGACACTGCTTCTAACTTTTATCTGCTGGAAAACATTCAACAATCTACTTTCATAAAGCATTGATAGATCGAGGCAATTTGTCCAGAAGCCAATCTCGATTTTGTTTTTTTTTTGCCCTTGTCTTTTAGAGCTGCCCTCCTTCCGATGGATGTTGGCCCGTTTATTTGTTGCCAATAGAGTTGATCGCCGCTTTGTAAGAGTAAGACATTATGGCCGGGTCATTGTCCAGGCGAGATGGATGACCTGATTGGAGATCCAGCTGACCAACGGAGCTCGAGAATTGACTGAAGTCCGGACACCGTTGCAGTGGGAGGACAGTGGCCATCCTGGAGATTCGCGACATGTTCGACTGCAGGTGGCACGGCAGCTGCTGTTGTTGTTGCTGCTGCTGGTGCACCGGCGGTTGGGGCTGCGCTTTGTTCGGGTAAGGGTTGACCTGAGGTGGCGGTGGTAGTGGTGGTTGCTGCTGTAGATTTGGCTGGTACTGAAAAGGTGAAGGCGTTGTCAAGGTCAGTGTTGAGTTATTGACGGCGTCCCAGCTGAAGGACCTGGGCCTATGTGGATGTTGTACTTGCAGGAACGGTTGCTGCCGCAGCTGACAGGGTGCGGCGGGAGGGACACGATTGTGGTTCCTGGCAAGGAGAACACTTCAGATTCAGGATAATGACTCAACAAGTTTATAAAGTTTCAATTAATATACGTTTGAGAATCTCAGACTAACGTTAACATGAAGAAACAACTAACATAATTCTCAAAATGTTTGTTCTATCAGAGAATGGTATTCAAGTACAAAAGCTTGTGATATTTTAAAATGTTAGGTGAGACAGAAAGCGCACTGCTAATTATATGAAATATTCCATTTTTGTTGAGCTCAACGTTTAAACTTAATAGAGATTTGTACCAAAAATATATTATTCTGATTAAATTATGTTGACAGGAAATGTTTTATATGCGCATATGATTATGCTGTGCAGTTTGTAAAAGATTTTATGTAGATAGTAAAGTATTTTGTGTAGCTTGTATAGTATTTTGTGTAGCTTGTATAGTATTTTGTGTAGCTTGTAGAGTATTTTGTGTAGCTTGTAGAGTATTTTTTGTAGCTTGTAGAGTATTTTGTGTAGCTTGTAGAGTATTTTGTGTAGCTTGTAGAGTATTTTGTGTAGCTTGTAGAGTATTTTGTGTAGCTTGTATAGTATTTTGTGTAGCTTGTATAGTATTTTGTGTAGCTTGTATAGTATTTTGTGTAGCTTGTAGAGTATTTTGTGTAGCTTGTAGAGTATTTTGTGTAGCTTGTATAGTATTTTGTGTAGCTTGTATAGTATTTTGTGTAGCTTGTATAGTATTTTGTGTAGCTTGTAGAGTATTTTGTGTAGCTTGTAGAGTATTTTGTGTAGCTTGTAGAGTATTTTGTGTAGCTTGTATAGTATTTTGTGTAGCTTGTAGAGTATTTTGTGTAGCTTGTAGAGTATTTTATGTAGGAGATGCATCGAACGTATCTCATCAAGTTGTAACCACGATTTAAAAAGTGTAATGTCGACAACATGCGTGGTAACGCTTTTGATCATCCATGAAACTTAAAGTGACGCTGCTGTGACGTCATGCACTGACCAAGACTTGTGCTTATGCTGCTCCTCCTCCTCTTGCATCTTGGCCTCCTCGGCCAGGTGCTGCCTCCTGATTTCATCAATCTCGAAGTAAGCATTGTCAAGAACGGTGCGCCTTCCTAAAGAATCTGTCAGTCGGTCCACCTGGGGTAGAATCAAATAAGACTTTGGTATGTGCTCAGCCTGGCGTAGCATCAAATAAGACATTGGTATGTGGCTAGCCTGGGATCGCATCCAATAAGACATTGGTATGTGGCTAGCCTGGGGTAGCATCAAATAAGACATTGGTAAGTGGCTAGCCTGGGGTAGCATAAAATAAGACTTTGGTATGTTGCTAGCCTGGCGTAGCATCAAATAAGACATTGGTAAGTGGCTAGCCTGGAGTAGCATAAAATAAAACATTGGTAAGTGGCTAGCTTGGGGTAGAATCAAATAAGACATTGGTAGGTGGCTAGCCTGGGGTAGCATCAAATAAGTCATTGGTAAGTGGCTAGCCTGGGGTAAAAACAAATAAGACATTGGTAGGTGGCTAGCCTGGGGTAGCATCAAATAAGACATTGGTTTGTGGCTAACCTGAGGTAGCATCCAATAAGACATAGGTAAGTGGCTAGGATATTACATATGTATTCATGAACCTAATTCATTACGTCAAAAATCGTTGAGAAACAGGGTGGAGACAGACAAGACTGTCATGTCTTGCTAAGAGCGTTACCCTTGCTGATAATAGCAGTTACCCTTGTCTGATAATAGCTGTTACCCTTGTCTGATAATAGCAATAACAGTTTCCTGTAATAGCAATTGCCATTTCCTAGCATCATCCCCATTGAATATTTGTTTTTTTGTTGTTTTTTTTACATAAAAGAATGAGTTGGTTAGATGGACATTGACAAAATTCACTTTACAAGTCCCATTTTGTCACACAACACATATCAGATGTATTTAAAAAAATAGAATTTAGTTAAACATTATTTACTATTCTGAATGAATAATTTACACTACGTTACATTAGCAATATATGAGAGCCTTGCGATGGCTCAGATAGCACATTTAGAGTAAATAGTTTAATTTGTGAGAGTATTTAAGACGAAGCAACGATACTCAACAAATCTGACCTCTTTGATCACCCTTTGAACCTCCAAATCGCTGACGGCACGAATCTTAGGGCCCACCCTCACCTCATCTGTGTTGACGCCTCTGCTCAGCTGAAATTCAAGTGTAGAACAAGGCACGAACACAAGTAAGACAACATCAGTATGCAATGGGCGATTTAAACAACCCATGCAAACATCTGCGAGCCACAATGTTGGTCAATGTTGGTCAATGTTGGTCTATGTTGGTCTATGTTGGTCTATGTTGGTCTATGTTGGTCTATGTTGGTCTATGTTCTATGTTGGTCTATGTTGGTCTATGTTGTTCTATGTTGTTCTATGTTGGTCTATGTTGGTCTGTGTTGGTCTATGTTGGTATATGTTGGTCAATGTTGGTCAATGTTGGTCTATGTTGGTCTATGTTGGTCTATGTTGGTCTATGTTGGTCTATGTTGGTCTATGTTGTTCTATGTTGGTCTATGTTGGTCTATGTTGGTCAATGTTGGTCAATGTTGGTCTATTTTGGTCTATGTTGGTCTATGTTGGTCTATGTTGGTCTATGTTGGTCTATGCTGGTCAATGTTGGTCTATGTTGGTCTATGTTGGTCTATGTTGGTCTATGTTGGTCTATGTTGGTCTATGTTGGTCTATCTATGTTGGTCAATGTTGGTCTGTGTTGGTCTATGTTGGTCTGTGTTGGTCTATGTTGGTCTATGTTGGTCTATGCTGGTCTATGTTAGACAAGTTTAGTCAATACCAGGGGTTTATCAGCGTTAGGAAAATGACTAAAAATGTCATTAATCCACAATTTCAATAAGCCATTATTTATGAACATCTTATCACAAACGAGGTTTTCTAAACCATTAACCATTATGTATGGAGGGGTGTAATTTCAAATGCCCTAATGCAAGAGAGTTCAGGTGTCACAGGACACAGTAAAGAGGTCGGTAATACGGGGTGTAAAGGTAAAAACTAAACGCTTACAATGACACTGCTACCTTAAGGTGTTTTGGTTACGTTTTTCTGGCACAGATTCTCGAGGTGAAATCTTGGCAGTCGAAAATAAAAGAAAAATGACCGAGATATTGCTCGCATTAGATCCGCGGTTCTCAGCCTGTGGGTCGCGACCCCTTTGGGGGTAGCCGGACCCTTTTCCAGGGGTCGCCTAAGACCATCTGAAAAAACATATCCTTACAGCGATGAAGTAGCAACGAAAATAATTGTCTGGCTGGGGGTCGCCACGACACGAGAAACTGTATTAAAGGGTCGCGGCACTAGAAAGGTTGAGAACCACTGCATTAGATGGTTACTAATTCAAATGGCAACAGCTTTATCAAATATACTATAAGATAGACAAGAGATAATGGTTTAATGTTGGGGGGAAAAAACCCGACCTAAAACTAACTTTGGTTTGTGGATTCTTGCGGCATTCCTTCATGGGTACTAAACGCTTGAGAATATTTCTCATGATTAAGTTGAACAACAAATCTAAAGGTTTGACTCACTTTGTTTGCCCCTTCCCTGGCCCCGAGGCACTCTACTCACTTTGTTTCCCCCTTCCCTAGCCCTGAGGCACTCTAGAAATGACTGGATAATGAAGTTACAGGTAACATTTCTCTCTAAGATCGGCGAGGCGTAGATGAGCACACGACAGTTGGGGCAGCCTATCCTCAAATCTTTCAGGGGACTCAGAACACAGTTACGGCTTGCGTGCTTGCACATCTCGGTCAGGCACCTGAAATATACATGAACTCACGGTCAGGCACCTGAAACATACATGGAATCACAGTCAGGCACCTGAAACATACATTAACTCATAGTCAGGCACCAGAAACATACATAGGTAATAAGCTAAATATTAAGACCAGGAGGTTTTTAATTGAGGTATAAAATAACTTTCGGTTAAATTCAAGTCACGAATAACCTCAAGATTGGCTCACTAGCTCTCCTTGATGCGACAACTATAAATAACTTTTACCATCAATATAACCAGATGACGTCACACATGTTCCTTTCTAGTACAGCTATAAATGACTTCTAACATCAATAAAAACAAAAATCCTCGCAAAAGAACTTGTCGCAAAACAAAATAATGATGAAACCGACTTGATCTCCTCCCATTTTCTGGCAACACGACCCAATCCCACCAGCTTATAAAGCGTTTCAAGAGAACCCTTTTAGAAACCACTCAAGCAAGAGAAGGATCTTTTGTTAAGTTAGTAACATATGCGATTAGGCTCGACAGCTCTCCAGCAGGAACTTTAACAATTTTCCATGGCTGGTGCACCTTGATTTTTTAAAACGCGAAAGTTCTACACTTTGTTAAAAGGCGATACATCTTATTAATCAATAAATGTTCAGCTTGCTTTAATTCCTTATTAATGTTAACAAAATTTGATGATCATAAATCAAGTTTTTGAAAGAGGCAGAATACTAATGTTTAAAATTTACGTAAACATCCACATTTTTTAAGGATCTTGCTTTTATCGACTACAGCGCTCTTTAAATTGACAACTGAGGAATGGAAAATGGAGTTCTTACTGAAGGCAAAAAGTATGTCCACACGGTAACACTATAGGTACGTCAAAAAACTCCATACAAATCCCACATCGAAGAATCTGCATGGCGTCGCCCCCTAGCACTCGGAACAGCTGATCTGAATGAAGTAAACTATCAGAAGGCCGGTTTGGGACGGTTTCGGACATTGCACGTGGGACTAAGCGCCAATTTCAAGTGTTTCTTCTCAAAGATTTGTCTTTGAGGTCTTGTGATCTTTCGGTCAAATCCAGCCAGTCGCAAGATCTTGTCTGCCCGCTCCGATCTGCTACAGTGAAACGCGCAGAGCAGACATATTGCTTGGACTTCCTTGGGTGGAAGCGGAAACTACGTCATTTATAAAATCCTCGGTTATGGCGTCATTCAGCCGAATAAATTTGAATGAAAACATTGTTCATACTTAATCCTTTTAAAAATGTTTAAGTCTTTATAAACTTTTTTTTTTTTTTTTTTTTTTACAAACTGTGGTACATTCTATTTGAAAGACCTTAGTCGTTCATCTATCTTTTTCATATTTCATAAACAGTAATTTCACTAATTCATTTATCTAGATGAGTGGCGATGTGCTTGTTATTACTTTAGTTAAACCGTATGGCATACATTTTTTCCCTAGAATATCTAAAAGATAAAGTAGCCTGTAGCAGTTATATATTCGAATGAAACATGGACGTGAACTTGGTCAACTATGCATGTACTGGCTTGCTCAGTGCGTCTTTTAGATGTTTTATTTGGGGGAAGAGGACGACTCAGATGTTCGGGTTTGCAGTGCAATTGGAGTAGGATCTCCCATAATCCTTGATTAGACTCTCATTGGAATAGGTGTAACAATTTTTTCCCGTTTTCTGCAAATCAATATAATTTTAGGTAAGTCACGAGGTCCATAAGGAGTGCGCTTCACAGTGGTTGGGAATCGCTGCCTTAGGGTATGCTTTTGGTCCCAGCTGTTTTTTTTTGGACAGAAATCTGGAGGGCTGTCCGCCTTCAATCTTAATTGAAGAGTGATCTGAGGAGAAGTTCAAACTTTATTCATAACAAATAAAACATTAAGGGTTCTCAATAACTAGGCTTCACAATCTTTCTTCTTTTACTTGTTTCCAGAGCCCTAGCAGCGCTTCTTCTTACAAAGCAGAGCAACATATGGTTTGAGTGAGAAAGCAATTGAGACCCTCAGTATAGCTTGAAGATGCTCATCAGTAAGTTTCGCCCTGAACTTTGACTTGTTAAAGTTCATAGTAGAAAAGAGCTTTTCACACAGACAGGTACTTCCAAAAAGGCACATGATCCGCTTGAACAACCTGGATATCTCAGGGAAGGTGGAGGGCAATTCTCTCACAAATTGTCCAAGATTGTCTATTTCTCCATTCACCTCCCTGAACTTTGCCTTGAGTTCAGAAGTGCACTGAAGTTCAATCAGCTCCATTTGAAGCGCATAAAGGGGGGAGGGGGACATCTTCCGTATTGAAGGAGAAAGGGTCAGCAAAAATTTGAAAAGTGGCTGTGTTTTTTGAAGTCTGTGATCAAATTCTTCCTGTAGCTTTTCAATGGCATCAGTATACTTACTACTAAACGGTGTGCCAGAGTCCATGAGTACTTTGCATGTTGGAAAATGGCAGAGGTTTCTCTCAGAAAGCTGGGCTTTCCATAGCACAAGTTTTGTGCAGAATGACCTCACATTGTCATAGGCAATACTGACAAGCTGCCCTGGCCTTGTAACTTCTTGTTGAGTACATTCAGCTCCTGTGTAGTGTCAATAAGAAAAGCCAAGTCCATAAGCCGTTTGGGATTACTTAGTACAAGAACAACCACCTCATCCTTCTCCATGAAGGCTTTGATTTCTGCTCTCAATTCACAAAATCTTTTCAAGAGGTTTCCCCTACTATGCCAACGTACCTCAGTGAAGTAGATAACATCCTCATATACTGACTCTATTTCCTCTAAAAAGGAACGGAACTGACGGTGCTTCAAGCCTCTGGATCTGATATGGTTGATGGATTTCACAACGTCAGACATCACATTGTCAAACTTCAGACATTTGCTGCAAAGGGCCTGCTGATGGATAATGCAGTGTAGTGCCATGGCCTCTTCCACACCTTCCTCTTTCAGTTTTCTTTGAACATGTGCCTCGAGTCCATTTATTGTCCCTGTCATTGATGGCGCCCCGTCGGTTGTTATTCCTGCAAAATTCGTCCACTGTAAACCAGCATCCACAATGGCATCACACAGCTGGCGGACTATCTCCCAAGCTGTGGTCTGGCCATACATTGAATCACTTTGAGCAACTCCTCCATCACTTCAAAATTAGCATCAACACCACGGACGTATAATGCCAGCTGTGCAGTGTCAGTAACTCTCATCCAGAGCGACTGAGTATGCATGGCAATATTTACCTTTCTCGCACAGTTGATCATAAATGTCACCTGACAGCTCAGAAATGCGCTCTGCCACTGTGTTGGCAGAAAGGCTGATGTTGCTAAACCCACCCTTATTTTCCGGACATACTTAACTTGTAGCTTGTAACATGCAATTTTTTTAATGAAATCGCGTTCTTTGAATGACTTTCCTGCCTTAGCAATCATCTCACTCACCACATAACTAGATTAAACTGCTGAATCCCTTTCTTAGCTTGCCTTCTTGAAAAAATCATGCTGCCTCAGTAGACATGTTTTAAGTTTAGCAACCCGGGCCTCTCTCTAATCTCCCTTGTGTTTTGCATACTCCTCAGCATGTCTGGTTAAATAAGGACGTCTGATGTTGTCCTCCTTGTGCCACGCCATTTTCACGGTGCATGTAAGGTCACGTCGGAAGCCCATGGGCTCAACAAAGCAATAGTCCGTCTCCCACTTCTCCTGAAATGGTCTGCGCTCATCGCCAACCTTTCTCTTCACAGCAGGTTTTGAGAAAGACGTGACTGGGGTCGGGTGACACAAATATTTATTTGCACTGCACATGTTTGATAAAATATATTTTCCCTCCACTCGGTAACACTCCCAAATAATGTTTCACGAGACAGAGCTGACAGGCTCGGAACTTCTGTCACTCGTCACTGGTACACACTGGCGGCAATTTTAATAGGGATTGTTGGATGCTGTGTAAAATTGCTACGATTAACACAGTTCGAAGAGAGTTTTCTCAAAACCGCACTTAGGCCATGTTTGGCCCATAAAATGCTAACAAATAAAACCTTTTATTCCGATTTTAAAACGGTTTTTACCATTATAATCAACGTCAATACCTATAGATATTTTAGATAAACCTAATAAAAATCAAAATTAGACCAGTCGCTGAGATGTGACTGAAACCGTCACGGAGGTTCACATTATAGATATGAGAATGTGGACAACGCGCGGGCCGCATTAATACTAAACTTTGATGTCAGGTGGCGGGCCGCAAAATATCGTCTTGCGGGGCCGAAAATGGCCCGCGGGCCGCGTTTTTGAGACCCCTGTTTTAAAGGATCCTTTAAATATTTATATAACTTTCCCCCTTCAGTTTACATACCTTTAAATCTTATCATTTAAGTAAGAAAACTTTTTTTTGTGTGTGTTTTTTTTTTTTTTTTGCCCAACTTTGTCCGGGCACATTTAATCTTTAGACTTCAAGGGTATCCATTAAAGAATTTTCCACCATTTGCTTTGCACACGGCTCCATGAATTGCTTATAGAATTTTTGTAACGCCATCATCTCGTGTAACATTTTAACAACAAATTCTTTGCACACGGACCGCAGCCTTTTATGAGCGTTCACCTACGGGGCAATGATAAGAAAGAAGGGCACTGTGCCGTGTGCAGTGGACAGATGTTAGCTTCTTAAATGACAGCTAAAGGTCATGTACATTTAAGATTATTTAATGACAGCTAAAGGTCAGGTTTATTTAAGATTATTTAGTGACAATAAGTGTTCAAAGAACTGTTCGTATCAGTCAGGGCGGATGGTTGTCAGACAACGGTTCATTTTTAAGTCATGGTGGTTGGTTGTCAAACAGCTGTTTAAGTCAAGGTGGTTTGCTGTCAAACAACTGTTCGTTTAACGTTTAAGTCATGGCGGTTAGTTGTCTGAGAACTCCTAGTTGACGGTCCTGGTTTGAAATAGTGTAACATTAGTTGATTGAGGGGGACCTGGTTTGAAATAGTGTCACATTAGTTGATTGAGGGGATCTGGTTTGAAATAGTGTCACATTAGTTGATTGAGGGGATCTGGTTTGAAATAGTGTCAAATTAGTTGATTGAGGGGACCTGGTTTGAAATAGTGTCACATTAGTTGATTGAGGGGACCTGGTTTGAAATATTGTCACATTAGTTGATTGAGGGGACCTCGTTTGAAATAGTGTCCCATTAGTTGATTGAGGGGACCTCGTTTGAAATAGTGTCCCATTAGTTGATTGAGGGGACCTGGTTTGAAATAGTGTCACATTAGTTGATTGAGGTGCCCCTATGTTAACTAGAAACAATTTAAATGGTAATCTCTTAAGTTTTTAATTTTTTAAATTGATTTCTTGTCTTCTTTTGATCTGTCTTGTGTGCTGATGAAGGCTGTTAGCCGAAACGTTCGTGTCTCATTGTCCAGATTTTTAATTCAAGCTTTCACATACCTTGTTCAACTATCTATATATATAATTCGCCAGCAAAGGTCAAACACCACCAAGCAGGCTATATATAGATACGCCAGAATGTGGTTCAATAATGAGTTCACTAGCGCGCAAAATACAATTCCCGATAACTACGCTCAATGATGTATATCTATTTTTAAATAACGCCATTGCGTTTGGTGCGTAATATTTTCTTTTCTGAGATGAAATCGTCTCAATTTAAGTATTGTGTAAAAAAAAATATTCGGTTTAAAAGTGGTTGGGACATGAGAATATTAATATAGTTCATGGGCGTGAAATAAAAAGGTGTGCAGTGACGTATCATTGAAACTAAAGGGTAGACGCACACTTTACGTTTGTGCCTATTACCGACCAAACACAGCAGATGAACCAAGCCTGAGGAGGTTCGAGGTATCGCTTCACAGAGCAACACAGTCAAAAAACGCTTTTCTCCTTATAGGGGGGGATTTTAACTTTCCTGGTTGGAATTGGCAGATTCCTGCCTTGAAGCCCAAGTCCCCATACCCTGTTCTACACTCAGAATTCATGGAGATAATTAACAACCATGGTCTGGAACAGCTGGTTAAAGAACCCACGAGGGGGGAAAACACTCTTGACCTACTCCTCACCAATTGTCCACATCGTGTCCAAAAAGTTGAGGTCATCCCCGGGATTTCGGACCACAGCATTCCTTATTGTGAATTTCAGGTCAACACACTAAAAATGAAACAAATCATTCGAGAAATCCCAATTTATGCCAAGGCAGACTGGGATGGCCTAAGGATTGCAACCACAGAGCTAAGCTCAAACATGAAGGTGATTCAAGGTACAGCGACAACAGACGAGCTGTGGGTGAAGTTCAAGACTACAATCACTGATGCAGTGAAGAAATTTATACCACACCAAATCACCAAACCTAGGATAAATCAGCCATGGGTCACGGCTGAAATCCGTAGGCTCATCCACAGGAGAGACCGCCAATACAAACGCATGAAGAAAAATGGCTCGATGGAACTGAGAGAGGAGGTACTGAGACTCCGCCGAACCATTCAACGCTTATTGCGTAGATCGTATTGGAACTACATGAACGGCATCTTCTCAGAGGAAGACACCCCGACCAAAGATGTCAAGAACAAGCGCTTCTGGAGCTATGTGAAACACCAAAAGTCCTCAAACGCTGGAGTTTCCCCCTTGAGGTGGGATGGCCAATTGACATCTGACCCAAAAGCACAGGCGGAGATACTCAATCAGCAGTTCCAGTCGGTCTTTGGTGACGGTAGAGAGTACTCTGAGACTGAGTTCCTTCTGAAGACCAAAATGATGAACAGAGCCTATCCTATCATGGGAGATATCCAGATATCAGAACAAGGTGTGTTTGCCCTCCTCAATACCATTAACCCTTACAAAGCATGTGGTCCTGACAACATTAAACCACGAGTGCTCAAAGAATTAGCCAAAGAAATCGCTCCTGCACTGACAATCCTCTTCCAATCGTCACTATGCACAGGAAATGTTCCAGCAGACTGGAGAACAGCGCATGTCACTCCAATTTACAAGAAAGGGGAGCATTCCGACCCTGCCAACTATCGTCCGATATCCCTCACTAGCGTCGTCTGCAAATTGTTGGAGCACATAATCGTAAGCTCTGTCATGAAGCATCTTGAAAGCAAAAATATACTCAATGACTGTCAACATGGCTTCCGAGTCAATAGGTCATGTGAGACCCAGCTTCTCGAATTTGTAGAAGACTTGATGACCAATCTGGAGAACCACAAGCAGACTGACGTGCTAGTAATGGACTTCGCAAAAGCATTTGACCGGGTGAATCATAGTTTGCTTCTACACAAACTCCAGATATATGGGATTCAAGGCACCACTAAAACATGGATCTCTAGCTTCCTCAGCCACCGACGCCAAGCAGTAGTGGTGGGCGGTACAAGCTCCTCCTTTGTCAATGTGAAGTCAGGGGTCCCCCAGGGATCAGTCCTGGGCCCCTGTTTGTTCCTAGCATACATTAATGACCTACCGGAGAAACTGACATCACAGGCAAGACTGTTTGCAGATGACACAGCAGTGTATAGGACGATCGCCAACAGATCTGACCAGGACCAGCTACAACAGGATCTCAATCTGTTAGCTGAGTGGGAGATGAGCTGGGACATGGAATTTCACCCTGCCAAGTGCCAGACACTATCAATCTCTAGAAGTTGTACTCCTCTACACTACCAATACAAACTGCACGGCCATATTCTTGAGCAAGTTTCCTCCGTAAAGTACCTGGGTGTTACCATTCAAAGAGAGGTCCGCTGGGACGAGCATATTAACAATGTATGTAACCAAGCAAACCAAGCCTTGGGGTTCTTAAGGCGAAATCTAAAGATTGGCAACTCCTGTGTGAAAGAAAGAGCATATAAAGCCTTTATCCGTCCGATTTTAGATTATGCATCTTCAGTCTGGGACCCATTTACCCAGAAGAGCATTGACAGGTTGGAGGCGGTCCAGCGACGAGCAGCACGCTTTGTCCTAAACCGCTACAGGAATACCTCTAGTGTTGGCAGCATGCTAGAAACACTAGGCTGGTCACCATTGGAGAAACGACGACGACAATCCAGGCTCTCCATGATGTACAAGATAAATAATGGGCTGGTCCACTGTTCCAGTATTAAACAGAAACTCGTCCCTCTCCCCCATAGACAGCGACGAGGCCATGACAGGCAATTCAGGCTCATACCAGCAAGAAGCCAGTATAGGAGCTGCTCATTCCTGCCCAAGACAATCAGGGACTGGAACCATCTTTCAAAAGGAACAGTTGAGGCGACAACACTAGACGCATTTGTGTCTATTGCCTCAAGCCTTCAAACCCCTAGTGCATAATTTCCTCATCACCACCAGTAACAGAAACATTGCAAATCCCATCTACATGCATAGGAGCCAAAATGATCAATAAATTGATCGTGGGCCCTTAAGATATAGAAGAAGAAGAAGAAGGGGTGTAGCAAATATTGGGACTCTTAAATGTGCGTTACTTGAGTTCATGTTTTGTCAAGTAACTTTACGAGATGGGAAGTTCACGCCGCCAATTTTTGGTGGGCTCTGTCTAGTATCTTGTATTGCACTAAGCTATTGTACGCACCGGAAAAAAAAAGTTTTTGTTCACCAATAAAAACTTATACTTAACGTTCATTAAACCAATAACCAATTACGAGCGCCCCCCCCCCTCTCTAGGGTACAATTTGGTTCAAATTTTTTCAAAAAATTAAAAAGATTATAAAATAATTAGATATAGCCCGCCAAACATTGGTGACAGCAATGTGTGAACTGAACCAAATACACTGAACTCATTGATTATTTCAGAAATTTCCCCGGGAGGGGGGCACTTCAGATTTTTCGGGGGGGGGGGCAGTGCCAGCAGAGCCAGTTGATTTATTGTTGGACATATCTTTGCTCCGGGGGGACAATTGGCTTTCCCCGGTGGAGTAGTGCCACCCGGACATATAGCTGAAAGAAACCCTGACTGCATTAAAGTGAACCCAACCGACTGCATTAAAGTGAACCCAACCGACTGCACTAAAGTGAACCCAACAGACTGCACTAAAGTGAACCCAACCGACTGCACTAAAGTGAACCCAACCGACTGCACTAAAGTGAACCCAACCGACTGCACTAAAGTGAACCCAACCGACTGCACTAAAGTGAACCCAACCGACTGCACTAAAGTTACCCCAACCGACTGCATTAAAGTGAACCCAACCGACTGCACTAAAGTGAACCTAACCGACTGTACTAAAGTAAACCCAACCGACTGCACTAAAGTAAACCCAACCCACTGCACATGGCTGCTCATAGACCAAACACGTTACAAACACATAAAGTCATGTTCAGTGGGCACGGTAAGTGGACAAAGTAAAAGGAGAATAAAAGCAAAAGCTGACACGTCCATATTTTGTTGCTTACTATCATAAAAAAAAAATCTCAAGGATTTATAAAAAAATGTTTGCTCTTTGTATTGAAAATAATTTTTATAGAGTTTCTCTTCTAAATAAAATCAATATGGGAACTTGATCAAATGATATTTTTTTTTTTTATATCCATATACCATGTTTTTTTTTGAGCGTACTCCTTTGTGTTCCCAGATCGTGTACAGGAAGTTTTTGTGTGGTTTGAACATGGAGACTTTCAGTATCAGATATTACCTTGACCTTTTCGGTGACTTTAAAAAGCAGCACAAAGATCCGAGTCAAAACTAGTTTATACATCCAGAAAAAGATGAACATGGCGGGGAGTACATGCAGTGATATTGAAACAAATCTCTAATCATGTTTCTTAGTTTTACTTGCTCCCCCCGTCCCCAGGTTTTCCCCATACTTTGTTTCGCTCACTTCCTTTCTTATTTGAGCTTGCTCAGCTGAAAACACCAATTTGAAATCCCCCCCCCCCTAAAAAAAAATCCCCCCCCCAACCCTCCCCCGTCCCCCGGTTTTCCCCATACTTTTTTTCGCTCCCTTCCTTTCTTTTTTGGGGTTGCTCAGCTGAAAACACCAATTTGAAATCCCCCCCCCCCTAAAAAAAAATCCCCCCCCCAACCCAATCCTGTATCCGACACTGTAAAGTACCGCAGTGGCGTGAGTTGGGTTGAAGGTCCAGCAGTTGCTATAAAACCACAAATGAGGCCAGGTCTTTTATAATAGTATTTTTAGGGTGTTCGACTAAATAGACTAGAATGTTAGGTCTACTCATTTCATTCCTAGCAACGGTGCAGATCAGTTTGGTCTATGGTAAGTTTGTTGTTGAAATGATTCATGTTAATTTTGTAGTAATCTTGGTTAGTGATAAATTGGTGGAACATAATATGATGACAGAACTTTGACCTATTCGACTTAAGATTTTATAACACAAAAATCTTCGAAATAAAATCTAATTTTGAACAATCTTATTGAATACTATTGTGCATATAAGCATTTAAAGGAATAACACATTATGTTATGTATGTTATATTTATAACAATATGGTTTTCTTTCTTAATATTATCATTTTGACAATCTCACTGTGGAGAGAAAGGAAACGAACACAACAGTGAAGATAGCGACAGAGACAGCTGGGGAAATAGTTACAGAATGCATGCAAACAGATAGAAAATACCGATGGGAATCAGTCACAGAAAAGAGTTCGGAAAATAGTCACAGAATACTGTTTGGGAAATAGTCACAGAATACAGTTTGGGAAATGGTCACAGAATGCAGTTTGGGAAATAGTCACAGAATACAGTTTGGGAAATGGTCACAGAATGCAGTTTGGGAAATAGTCACAGAATACAGTTTGGGAAATAGTCACAGAATGCAGTTTGGGAAATAGTCACAGAATACAGTTTGGGAAATAGTCACAGAATACAGTTTGGGAAATAGTCACAGAATACAGTTTGGGAAATAGTCACAGAATGCAGTTTGGGAAATAGTCACAGAATACAGTTTGGGAAATGGTCACAGAATACAGTTTGGGAAATAGTCACAGAATACAGTTTGGGAAATAGTCACAGAATACAGTTTGGGAAATAGTCACAGAATACAGTTTGGGAAATAGTCACAGAATACAGTTTGGGAAATAGTCACAGAATACAGTTTGGGAAATAGTCACAGAATACAGTTTGGGAAATAGTCACAGAATACAGTTTGGGAAATAGTCACAGAATACAGTTTGGGAAATAGTCACAGAATACAGTTTGGGAAATAGTCACAGAATACAGTTTGGGAAATAGTCACAGAATACAGTTTGGGAAATAGTCACAGAATACAGTTTGGGAAATAGTCACAGAATACAGTTTGGGAAATAGTCACAGAATACAGTTTGGGAAATAGTCACAGAATACAGTTTGGGAAATAGTCACAGAATACAGTTTGGGAAATAGTCACAGAATACAGTTTGGGAAATAGTCACAGAATACAGTTTGGGAAATAGTCACAGAATACAGTTTGGGAAATAGTCACAGAATACAGTTTGGGAAATAGTCACAGAATACAGTTTGGGAAATAGTCACAGAATACAGTTTGGGAAATAGTCACAGAATACAGTTTGGGAAATAGTCACAGAATACAGTTTGGGAAATGGTCACAGAATACAGTTTGGGAAATGGTCACAGAATACAGTTTGGGAAATGGTCACAGAATACAGTTTGGGAAATGGTCACAGAATACAGTTTGGGAAATGGTCACAGAATACAGTTTGGGAAATAGTCACAGAATACAGTTTGGGAAATGGTCACGGAATGCAGTTTGGGAAATGGTCACGGAATGCAGTTTGGGAAATAGTCACAGAATACAGTTTGGGAAATGGTCACAGAATACAGTTTTGGAAATGGTCACGGAATGCAGTTTGGGAAATGGTCACAGAATACAGTTTGGGAAATGGTCACAGAATACAGTTTGGGAAATAGTCACAGAATACAGTTTGGGAAATAGTCACAGAATACAGTTTGGGAAATGGTCACGGAATGCAGTTTGGGAAATGGTCACAGAATACAGTTTGGGAAATAGTCACAGAATACAGTTTGGGAAATGGTCACAGAATGCAGTTTGGGAAATAGTCACAGAATACAGTTTGGGAAATGGTCACAAAATACAGTTTGGGAAATAGTCACAGAATACAGTTTGGGAAATGTCACAGAATGCAGTTTGGGAAATAGTCACAGAATACAGTTTGGGAAATGGTCACAGAATGCAGTTTGGGAAATAGTCACAGAATACAGTTTGGGAAATAGTCACAGAATACAGTTTGGGAAATAGTCACAGAATACAGTTTGGGAAATAGTCACAGAATACAGTTTGGGAAATGGTCACAGAATGCAGTTTGGGAAATAGTCACAGAATACAGTTTGGGAAATAGTCACAGAATACAGTTTGGGAAATGGTCACGGAATGCAGTTTGGGAAATGGTCACAGAATACAGTTTGGGAAATGGTCACAGAATACAGTTTGGGAAATAGTCACAGAATACAGTTTGGGAAATAGTCACAGAATACAGTTTGGGAAATGGTCACGGAATGCAGTTTGGGAAATGGTCACAGAATACAGTTTGGGAAATAGTCACAGAATACAGTTTGGGAAATGGTCACAGAATGCAGTTTGGGAAATAGTCACAGAATACAGTTTGGGAAATGGTCACAAAATACAGTTTGGGAAATAGTCACAGAATACAGTTTGGTAAATAGTCACAGAATACAGTTTGGGAAATGGTCACAGAATACAGTTTGGGAAATAGTCACAGAATACAGTTTGGGAAATAGTCACAGAATACAGTTTGGGAAATAGTCACAGAATACAGTTTGGGAAATGGTCACAGAATACAGTTTGGGAAATAGTCACAGAATACAGTTTGGGAAATAGTCACAGAATACAGTTTGGGAAATAGTCACAGAATACAGTTTGGGAAAAGGTCACAGAATACAGTTTGGGAAATGGTCACAGAATACAGTTTGGGAAATGGTCACAGAATACAGTTTGGGAAATGGTCACAGAATACAGTTTGGGAAATAGTCACATAATACAGTTTGGGAAATAGTCACAGAATACAGTTTGGGAAATGGTCACAGAATACAGTTTGGGAAATGGTCACAGAATACAGTTTGGGAAATAGTCACATAATACAGTTTGGGAAATAGTCACAGAATACAGTTTGGGAAATAGTCACAGAATACAGTTTGGGAAATAGTCACAGAATACAGTTTGGGAAATAGTCACAGAATACAGTTTGGGAAATAGTCACAGAATACAGTTTGGGAAATAGTCACAGAATACAGTTTGGGAAATAGTCACAGAATACAGTTTGGGAAATAGTCACAGAATACAGTTTGGGAAATAGTCACAGAATACAGTTTGGGAAATAGTCACAGAATACAGTTTGGGAAATGGTCACAGAATACAGTTTGGGAAATAGTCACAGAATACTGTTTGGGAAATAGTCACAGAATACAGTTTGGGAAATGGTCACAGAATACAGTTTGGGAAATAGTCACAGAATACAGTTTGGGAAATAGTCACAGAATACAGTTTGGGAAATGGTCACAGAATACAGTTTGGTAAATAGTCACAGAATACAGTTTGGTAAATAGTCACAGAATACAGTTTGGTAAATAGTCACAGAATACAGTTTGGGAAATAGTCACAGAATGCAGTTTGGTAAATAGTCACAGAATACAGTTTGGGAAATAGTCACAAAATACAGTTTGGGAAATAGTCACAGAATACAGTTTGGTAAATAGTCACAGAATACAGTTTGGTAAATAGTCACAGAATACAGTTTGGTAAATAGTCACAGAATACAGTTTGGGAAATGGTCACAGAATACAGTTTGGTAAATAGTCACAGAATACAGTTTGGGAAATAGTCACAGAATACAGTTTGGGAAATAGTCACAGAATACAGTTTGGGAAATAGTCACAGAATACAGTTTGGGAAATAGTCACAGAATACAGTTTGGGAAATGGTCACAGAATACAGTTTGGGAAATGGTCACAGAATACAGTTTGGGAAATGGTCACAGAATACAGTTTGGGAAATGGTCACAGAATACAGTTTGGGAAATAGTCACAGAATACAGTTTGGGAAATAGTCCAATAAAATATCAAATGCTGAAGAAATTTGCAATACATTCATTTTTTCATTTACAGCCGCCTGTCCAACAATAGTAACAAGGGCAGCATGGGGGGCCCGGGCCCCGAAAAGCGTTTCTTACCTGACCAACCCTGTGCACTACGCTTTTATCCACCACTCAGAGGCTGGTGAATGCAACGACCGGACATCGTGTGCTGCTTTGGTCAGGAGCTACCAGAATTATCACATGGACACTAATGGTCAGCATCTTTTGACAGATACTATCTTGCGCGGATTAGTGCCAGATAGAAATTGGGAGATTTCCTTCAAGTTAATCACATTAAAACCTAATTTTTTGTTTTCGCCAAAACTCTCGATTCTTTTGCAAAAAAATGTTAACAGTAAGATTCAAAGTTGTGGTATTTTTAATTTAGACTTTGGACCATCGATAAAAGAGAGTTCGAATATCAGGGACAAAGTTGTGTTATTTAAAATAATTTGACATTAGATAAAACTATAGTTGAAATAAGGGGCGTAATGACGTCTAATGCCGCCCGGGGCGGGCCGAGAATTTTGCCGCTCCCATCAATTAAAAAACATCCTCTGCAGTTGGCCGAAGATATGACGGACCTCCCGCAGCCACCCCGCGCCCTACCCCAATGTTTAAAATATCAAGGGGAAAAGTCGGAAACAATAACTCATGAACATAGTGCGGGAGACAAAAATAACCCCACTCCTGGGTGAGAGGTCACCTAAATACCCACTCCTGGGTGAGAGGTCACCTAAATACCCACTCCTGGGTGAGAGGTCACCTAAATACCCACTCCTGGGTGAGAGGTCACCTAAATACCCACTCCTGGGTGAGAGGTCACCTAAATACCCACTCCTGGGTGAGAGGTCACCTAAATACCCACTCCTGGGTGAGAGGTCACCTAAATAGGCAATTTTTTTATTTTTTTTTTAAATTCTGAGATTTTAAATGAGATTATTCACCATGATGACATTCAGTAAAATGTTGACGTACCATATTACCTTGAATGCCATGATGAAATTGTAACTCTTTAAGTCGCTTCGAAATACCCGTCTGTGTCATCATATGGCTAATCTTTTCTTGTCGTTCTCAATATCAAATAACTTTCTTATCACCACCACCCCCCCCCACACTTTTTTTTTCGGTATGGGAAAGAGGGAGTGTGCGGGTGTGGGCGGGGGGGGGGAGGGGGTGAGGGTTCACATCAAGAAGAGTGGAGAGTTCTCACATAGAGGTGTAGAATCAATTTGGGGCATTTTGATATCCAACATCATAATGTTTACGATTACGTCATCAGCCGGCGATCGAACAGAAAAAAACTTATTGGGACCCACGGTTTGAGAACCCGCGTCGTAGGGATTGCGACATCTATTAATAGCCAGCTGAATTTTAAACTTTACAACTGTGTGTATATCATTATCTACACATCTATAAATATACAGATATGATGTTTTCTTGCGTATCCGGAAATTTGATCGAAAGAAATTTCGTCGACGGTAAATTGATCGACGGTAATTTGATCGAACGGAAATATGGTCGAATCTTTTTTTCCGTTTTTACGTTTAAATTTTGCTTCAAATGTCTTTTTGAACGCACTATTTTGTTTCACTATATAGTATTAGTGCGTTCAAAAAGAAATTTAACGAAAATCTTAACGTGTGAACTGAAATAAGATTCGACCAAATTTCCGGTCGATCAAAATACCGTCGATCAATTTACCGTCGACGAAATTTCTTTCGATCAAATTTCCGGTAACCGTTTTCTTGATCAATAACTTAATGGTCTTGCTACATAATCCAGGCTGGGCTGACATCGGCTACAGCTTCTTGATTGGTGGAGACGGCAGTGTGTTTGAAGGACGAGGCTGGGATAGGGTTGGGGCTCACACCCAGGGCTACAACAGTGTTGGATATGGTAAGTCTTGAGGGGCTGGGACAGGGTTGGGGCTCACACCCAGGGCTACAACAGTGTTGGATATGGTAAGTCTTGATTGGCTGGGACAGAGTTGGGGCTCGAACCCAGGGCTACAACAGTGTTGGATATGGTAAGTCTTGAGGGGATGGGACAGGGTTGGGGCTCAAACCCAGGGCTACAACAGTGTTGGATATGGTAAGTCTTGAGGGGCTGGGACAGGGTTGGGGCTCAGACCAAGGGCTACACCAGTGTGGATATGGTGAGTCTTGAGGGACTGGGGCAGGGTTGGGGCTCGAACCCAGGGCTACAACAGTGTTGGATATGGTAAGTCTTGAGGGGCTGGGACAGGGTTGGGGCTCACACCAAGGGCTACAACAGGGTTGGATATGGTAAGTCTTGAGGGGCTGGGACAGGGTTGGGGCTCACACCAAGGGCTACAACATTGTTGGATATGGTAAGTCTTGAGGGGCTGGGACAGGGTTGGGGCTCACACCCAGGGCTACAACAGTGTTGGATATGGTAAGTCTTGAGGGGCTGGGACAGGGTTGGGGCTCAAACCCAGGGCTACAATAGTGTTGGATATGGTAAGTTTGAGAGGCTGGGACAGGGTTGGGCTCACACCCAGGGCTACAACAGTGTTGGATATGATAAGTCTTGAGGGGCTGGGACAGGGTTGGGGCTCACACCAAGGGCTACAACAGTGTTGGATATGGTAAGTCTTGAGGGACAGGGTTGGGGCTCACACCCAGGGCTACAACAGTGTGGATATGGTAAGTGTTGAGGGGCTGGGACAGGGTTGGGGCTCACACCCAGGGCTACAACAGTGTTGGATATGGTAAGGCTTTAGGGGCTGGGACAGGGTTGGGGCTCACACCCAGGGCTACAACAGTGTTGGATATGGTAAGTCTTGAGGGGCTGGGACAGGGTTGGGGCTCACACCAAGGGCTACAACAGTGTTGGATATGGTAAGTCTTGAGGGACAGGGTTGGGGCTCACACCCAGGGCTACAACAGTGTGGATATGGTAAGTCTTGAGGGGGTGGGACAGGGTTGGGGCTCACACCCAGGGCTACAACAGTGTTGGATATGGTGAGTCTTTAGGGGCTGGGACAGGGTTGGGGCTCACACCCAGGGCTACAACAGTGTGGATATGGTGAGTCTTGAGGGGCTGGGACAGGGTTGAGGCTCACACCCAAGGCTAAAACAGTGTTGGATATGGTAAGTCTTGATGGGATGGGACTGGTTTGAGGCTCACACCCAGGGCTACAACAGTGTTGGATATGGTAGGTCTTAAGAGGCTGGGATAGGTTTGGGGCTCAAACCCAGGGCTACAACTGTGTTGGATATGGTAAGTCTTTAGGGGCTGGGACAGGGTTGGGGCTCAAACCCAGGGCTACAACAGTGTTGGAAATGGTAAGTCTTGAGGGGCTGGGACAGGGTTGGGGCTCACACCCAGGGCTACAACAGTGTTGGATATGGTGAGTCTTTAGGGGCTGGGACAGGGTTGGGGCTCGAACCCAGGGCTACAACAGTGTCGGATATGGTAAGTCTTGAGGTGTTGGGTCAGGGTTGAGGCTCAAACCCAGGGCTACAACAGTGTTGGATATGGTAAGTCTTTAGGGGCTGGGACACTGTTGGGGCTCAAACCCAGGGCTACAACAGTGTTGGATATGGTAAGTCTTGCAATGGCGAGAATACAGATTGAAAATTTAGCTATTTTATGCTCTTCGAATGTTTTTATTCATTAGTTTGTTTGTGTAACTGGCGACCTTTATAAGATCACACACCCGTGCGCAACGATGACCTAGATCACAACCGGTGTGCACTGATGACCTAGATCACACAGAGCACAGTAGACAACTCAAGCAGTATCCATTGGTGTCTTCTTGAGTTGTCTACTGTGCTCTGTTTTTTTTTGGGTTATATTTTCATTTCTACTGTTGGTTGAGGAAGGCTTTATGCCGAAACGTCCTTGTTTTTTGTCCTGTTGTCAAGCTTCCACATACCTCGTTTTGCTATTTCATTAATTATTTTCCCCCTCTTGTCTCTGCTAACAGCATTCTGCTTCATTGGGAACTTCATGACCAAATTACCCACAGCCGCGGCCCAACAAGCTGCCCATGACATCATCGGCTGCGGAGTGACCAGCGGAAAGATCCAATCAGCGTACGTCCTGAGAGGTCACCGCGACATGGGCGGTGGCACTGACTGCCCCGGTAACACCCTGTACAACGCCATCAGGAGCTGGCCTCACTATTAAACTGTTGAATCATAAGCTTGTTTTGAGTGAGCTTATTCAACGTGTGAGTGATTGAACCGGCGTCAGGGGGTGGGTGGGTAAGATACATTTTGATGCATTGATCTCGACCACATAATAGCTAAACAAGTCAATATTGATCTCGACCACATAATAGCTAAACAAGTCAATATTGATCTCGACCACATAATAGCTAAACAAGTCATTATTGATCTCGACCACATAATAGCTAGACTAGTCAATATTGATCTCGACCACATAATAGCTAAACAAGTCAATACTGATCTCGACCACATAATAGCTAAACAAGTCAATATTGATCTCGACCACATAATAGCTAAACAAGTCAATATTGATCTCGACCACATAATAGCTAAACAAGTCAATATTGATCTGGACCACATAATAGCTAAACAAGTCAATATTGATCTGGACCACATAATAGCTGAACACGTCAATTTTGATCTCAGCCATATAATAGCTAAACACGTCAATATTGATATCGGCCACATAATAGCTGAACATGTCAATATTGATCTCAGCCATATAATACCTAAACACGTCAATATTGATCTCAGCCATATAATAGCTAAACACGTCAATATTGATCTCAGCCATATAATAGCTAGACAAGTCAATGCTAAAAACTAGATTTTTGAGCTAGAGCTTTCATACATTTCTAATTTGCGCAAATGTAAAATATCCTTCAATGACTTTTTGTTGCCACGTAGATATCTCTCCAATGTACTATGTGATCTTTAATGCAATATGGAGTCTCCGATTTAATATGGGGTGTCCAATTATACTGATTGCAACTCAAACTCTGACTCTGCCTTAGAAAGGCCAACTGACACCCCCAACATGCCTCATCATGTCCCATCAAAAGTCCAACCACTACACAGCAACAGGCCACACCCACAATTTGTTAAGTTGCGTAGGTAGTTTCTTGTAGACGAAAAAGCGTTAGTGAAATCACTGAATTTATATTATGTTATCAAACTGCTACTAATAAATATGTTATGTTTGGGGCCATAGCTGTGTGTGGGAGCGAAGAACAACATTGGCTTTTGAGACTCTATCACTGAGAGACTCTATCACTGAGAGACTCTATCACTGAGATAATCTATCACTGAGAGACTCTATCACTGAGAGAATCTATCACTGAGAGAATCTATCACTGAGAGAATCTATCGCTGAGAGACTCTATCACTGAGAGACTCTATCACTGAGAGAATCCATCACAGAGAGAATCTATCACTGAGAGACTCTATAACTGAGAGAATCTATCACTGAGAGACTCTATCACTGAGAGAATCTATCACTGAGAGAATCTATCACTGAGAGACTCTATCACTGAGAGACTCTATCACTGAGAGAATCTATCACTGAGAGACTCTATCACTGAGAGACTCTATCACTGAGAGAATCTATCACTGAGAGAATCTATCACTGAGAGAATATATCACTGAGAGACTCTATCACTGAGAGAATCTATCACTGAGAGAATCTATAACTGAGAGACTCTATCACTGAGAGACTCTATCACTGAGAGAATTTATCACTGAGAGAATATATCACTGAGAGACTCTATCACTGAGATTATATCACTGAGAGACTATCACCGAGACTCTATCACTGAGAGAATCTATCACTGAGAATCTATCACTGAGAGACTCTATCACTGAGAGACTCTATCACTGAGAGACTTTATCACTGAGAATCTATCACTGGGAGACTCTATCACTGAGACTCTATCACTGAGAGAATCTATCACTGAGAGAATCTATCACTGAGAGACTCTATCACTGAGAGAATCTATCACTGAGAGAATCTATCACTGAGAGACTCTATCACTGAGAGACTCTATCACTGAGAGAATCTATCACTGAGAGACTCTATCACTGAGAGACTCTATCACTGAGAGAATCTATCACTGAGAGAATCTATCACTGAGAGACTCTATCACTGAGAGAATCTATCACTGAGAGAATCTATCACTGATAGACTCTATCACTGAGAGACTCTATCACTGAGAGACTCTATCACTGAGAGACTCTATCACTGAGAGAATCTATCACTGATAGACTCTATCACTGAGAGAATCTATCACTGAGAGATTCTATCACTGAGAGACTCTATCACTGAGAGAATTTATCACTGAGAGAATCTATCACTGAGAGACTCTATCACTGAGAGAATCTATCACTGAGAGAATCTATCACTGAGAGACTCTATCACTGAGAGACTCTATCACTGAGAGAATCTATCACTGATAGACTCTATCACTGAGAGACTCTATCACTGAGAGACTCTATCACTGAGAGACTCTATCACTGAGACTCCTATTTAAAGCCTTTTATATTAACTTCGCTTTTGTTCGTATTTCTTACCGATTTATTTATTGCAAAATCTTCGAAAGGCTCATTGACCCACTTCCCGTCATCCTATCGAGGTGAAACTTGGACATAGACTCGTTGCCGATGACAACTCATTCTTTCAAATGTTCATCTCCACCATCCACATATCAACCCCCCCCCCCCCCCAAATTCAGTTTTAACGCTACCAGATGCCACTGATTTCACGAAATAAAATTCCCGATAACTGCGCTAAATGAGATTCTTAAAAAAACGCAAATGCGTTTTGGTGCGTACTACTTTCCTTCGTGTAACATAAATAGCGGGTTTAATAATAAATATGCTGTGTAAAAGTGGGTGGGATCTTTGACCATTAATATAGTTCAGGGGCGTGAAAAAAATTTGCGATGGCGAGCCTGGGGGGACGGAGGCTGGACTAATCGGGACTCTTAAAAAGTGTCTTGCTTAGATGCATTTTTATTCAAAGTTTTACACCCCCCCCCCCATTTGCTCAACGTTACATTTATACAAAAAACTTTAATTTTAGTGGTTGTTTAATCCAGGTTCTTGAACACGTTAAAGACACTTAGAAATGTTGTTGGGTGTTTTATGAAGACCGTTCGATATCATGGCACATGAATTTTAAAAAGAATTGTTTTTTTTTTCTTTTTGAAGAAAGGAGTTTTTAAAGCTATAACAGACTTTTAGAGAATTTTGAACTCTAAATTATTAATTTTAGAAACATCCCTTAATCTTTTCGGGAAATGGCACTGGAAATCAGTGAAATACCCTCAACAACACTAGGAACAGAAACATTGCAAATCCCATCTACATGCATAGGAGTCAAAGGATCAATAAATTGATCGTGGGCCCTTAAGATATAGAAGAAGAAGAATAAAAAAATGTATATACTAAAAAGTAAATACTAAAAATAAATAATAAAATTAGGCTCAATATTAAAAGTAATTATTAAAAGTAAATAATAAAAGCTTTACTTTCAGAAGAAAATAACTTGTATAGTTTGAAGTAAAGGACCAGGTCACACATCACTGCATTGAAGCTTACGAACCAACCAGCTCCCGAGTTGGTTTACCTTGAGGGCGTCACTCATGACTGTTTCGAGGTATCGTCCGTTACGGGAATGTATACATACTTTTTGCATCCTTTAGTCACAATGTGTGACAAAAAAAAAAAAAGATCTGGTCACACATTTTTTTTTTCTTTCTAAAGAGAATAAGCTGATTCCCTAAGCTGCAGATCCATTCTCTCCACGCATCTTGTGAACCCATGGGGATATCAAGTCTTAGTGTCATACCGCCTACCGGACTACATCCCCGAGTTTGAATTTAGAATTTTTTCTTTTAAATGAGTTGCAATCAAAGGTTAACGAGCTCACTCCACCCAGAGTGCTGGTGATGTTCTTTTATTTTCTTCTCTTTTTTGTTGTTGTTGCTTGGGCATTGAACTCCAACCCACAAGTTTGTATTCGCGCATAGATACTGCACAGCCACCCAGCATATTATTAGTAAAGTAATGTCTCGGCACAAAGCTGACGAAGTGGATGTCTCCTCAAATACAAATGGTATACGTCATTTTGAGGGGGAATTTTTAATCAACGAAATAGTATAATTTGGGGCAGAAATGTAATTTACAAAATGAGTTCTGCTTGATTTGGATAAAAATTAATTGCAGAAAACCAATCAAATTTAAACCGTGTATTAAAAAAATGACATTGTTTCTTGTTAGAGGAATAAGACAACGAATAAATATTGGCTTATAAAATAACACTGCGTCATTTGTGTCAGCGACATTCCTAATTTGATGTTGTCTTACAGAAATGTAGGGTAACCGTTCTCTAGTTTTTAAACATACAATCAGAAAACTACTTTCTATTCTTGTTGACTTTGTAAAAATGCAAAGAATCATGCATAGAAGCTATATCTACCACAATCGTTTTTTTTTGTTTGTTTTATCTCCATAAACTATTTTTATTAACTGATAGGGAATCTATCGTGTGCAATTTTTTTTTTCAAAACATTTTTAGAAATTCCTGTTTCAAACAAACTAAATATAAAACAACTGTCCAAGATTTTAAGTTTCCGCAGTGAACTCAATTAAAGAAAAACAACAAAAACGAACAGTTATTTAAAAAAAAAAACATGAAAGGCGATTCCAACAAAAGATAAACACAATTTTACACTATAAGAGAGAAACGTTCTCTACAATTAGATTGATGCCCGCTAGATCTGGACACCAAAGATGTATGCACTGTTGCTGACATTAGCGGCCGTCGTCATAGAAACCGGTCTTGTATGTGGTGAGGAGCTATGTAAAACATGGCTTGGTTCAGTTCTTAGTGTCAACTTTAAGTCTATGTCATAATATTGCTATGGTGTGTCAAGTGTTGCATTAGACGGCATGGGCGCCCGCACGTAGTGGCAAGGTGGGGCACTTGCCCCCCCCCCTGGATTGATTGGAAAAAAAATTTTAAGACAAAAATAGACAAAAAAATTATTAAAATAAAGAGAAAATAAAGAGAAAGTAACTAAGCTGATCTCCTGTCCGTTCGTTCACCATACAAATACGCTACAGTAAATTAAAACTATAGTAAAACATTACTAAAAATTTTTTGCCCCCTCCCTGGAAAGTTAATTGATTTTTTTTGCCCCCCCCCCTGGAAAGTTTTCTGCGGGCGCCCATGTAGACGGATATTCCATGATGATCATGTCGCTAACTTCTCGTCAAACCTCCCCTCGTGGATAATGCCGACTCCATAAGCTTGGTTTCTGTTGGACCAGGAAACACTTGGGCAATGTTGTGAGTAGCCTCTAAAGACATATGCCACGATTCCCTGTCATAAGTAAAGAAGAAAGAAGAGATTGACGCTTGTTATCTGTCCTCTGTCCAGTAATATAAGCTGATTAAATGTATTTCTTTAAACTTGTTCTTGTTGCTGTCTGACAAGAGATTTATATTAAGGATGAGACAGGAACAATGCAACACCCCCCACAACTCACCCACAACACGCCCACAAGTCGCCCACAACACCGACACAACTCACCCACAACACGCCCACAACAGGCCCACAACACGGCCACAACATGCCCACAACACGCCCACAACACACCCACAACACGCCCACAACCCTTTTAATATTTCCAGACCTCAAATTTGGCAGCTATACATTTATTGGCCACAGTTACATTTAATGCCTTTTCTATACATTAATTGTGTCAATTAGAGCAGGGGTGGGCAAACGTTGTGAGCGTAGGGCCACAATTACAAATGAAAAGTTATCGGAGGACCACATAAATATTTTAGCAGAATTAGCATTACATTACGACGGTCAAGAACCGTTTACAAAAATAGAAAATCGGAAAGAAATTGTATTAAAAAAATGTTAAAACAATCATGGTGGTACATGTCATTCTGTAGAATTCAAACAACATAACTAAAAAAACGAATTATTTTTTTTTTAATTGCTAAATGCCCTCGGGGCCGCATACCATGAGTTGCAGGGCCGCATGTGGCCCGAGGGCCGTTGTTTGCCTACTCCTGAATTAGAGCACTAATCTCCTATTTACTCTATCATCAATGACGTATCTTTGGGGTCAAAGGTAGAGATCTGTCTATAAAATACATGATTAAGATAATAAGCTCTAAATATCTGTCACCCCAATGTCCCACTCACTCTTCAGTCATGCCACTTATATCGAGACCGTTTCCCTGAAATGGCATGCTTCCAATGGCATCTGTTGGTGTGTCATTTGAAGGTGTCATTTTTTTACTTCGGTGTCATATGTTTATGAAAACTTATTTACGTAATATGAACAAAATGTCTTGATCTATTCAAGGCGAATGTCCCGCCACCATAAGCAGATCCCAGTGGGGTGCCAAACCAGCAACAAGTACCAGCTACATGACCAACCCGGTTAGTTACGCCTTCATCCATCATTCTGCTGGACCCGAGTGTCACGACAGAGCATCTTGTACTGAAAAGATCAGGCAGTTGCAAAACTATCACATGGATACTCACGGTCAATCATCTTTTTTTTTCTATGGCGACAAATACGGTTGTAAAAATAATTGATTTTTTATAAGAATGATTAAGATTTTAACAGATGTCATGAGTGACTTGAGTGACATGAGTGACATGAGTGACATGAGTGACATGAGTGACATGAGTGACATGAGTGACATGAGTGACTTGAATGACATGAGTGACATGAGTGACTTAAGTGACATGAGACATGAGTGACATGGGTGACATGAGTGACATGGGTGACATGAGTGACTTGAGTGACGTGAGGGGCATGCACAATATAGAGAAAAAACTGATGTTTTTCAGGTTGGCCTGACATTGGATACAATTTTCTGATTGGTGGAGACGGGTCTCTCTTCGAGGGGCGTGGATGGGACAAGGTCGGCTGGACACGACAAGGTCACGGTACCGGCACTTTGGTTTTTGATGACCCAGGGCTGTGGCGTCCATCCCTGTGTATAACACTGTTACTTTACCTAAGAATGTCGCTTTGTATAACACTGTTACTTTACCTAAGAATGTCGCTTTGTATAACACTGTTACTTTACCTAAGAATGTCGCTTTGTATAACACTGTTACTTTACCTAAGAATGTCGCTTTGTATAACACTGTTACTTTACCTAAGAATGTCGCTTTGTATAACACTGTTACTTTACCTAAGAATGTCGCTTTGTATAACACTGTTACTTTACCTAAGAATGTCGCTTTGTATAACACTGTTTCTTTACCTAAGAATGTCGCTTTGTATAACACTGTTACTTTACCTAAGAATGTCGCTTTGTATAACACTGTTACTTTACCTAAGAATGTCGCTTTGTATAACACTGTTACTTTACCTAAGAATGTCACTTTGTATAACACTGTTACTTTACCTAAGAATGTCGCTTTGTATAACACTGTTACTTTACCTAAGAATGTCGCTTTGCATAACACTGTTACTTTACCTAAGAATGTCGATTTGCATAACACTGTTACTTTACCTAAGAATGTCGCTTTGTATAACACTGTTACTTTACCTAAGAATGTCGCTTTGCATAACACTGTTACTTTACCTAAGAATGTCGCTTTGCATAACACTGTTACTTTACCTAAGAATGTCGCTTTGCATAACACTGTTACTTTACCTAAGAATGTCGCTTTGCATAACACTGTTACTTTACCTAAGAATGTCGCTTTGCATAACACTGTTACTTTACCTAAGAATGTCGCTTTGCATAACACTGTTACTTTACCTAAGAATGTCGCTTTGCATAACACTGTTACTTTACCTAAGAATGTCGCTTTGCATAACACTGTTACTTTACCTAAGAATGTCGCTTTGCATAACACTGTTACTTTACCTAAGAATGTCGCTTTGCATAACACTGTTACTTTACCTAAGAATGTCGCTTTGCATAACACTGTTACTTTACCTAAGAATGTCGCTTTGCATAACACTGTTACTTTACCTAAGAATGTCGCTTTGCATAACACTGTTACTTTACCTAAGAATGTCGCTTTGCATAACACTGTTACTTTACCTAAGAATGTCGCTTTGCATAACACTGTTACTTTACCTAAGAATGTCGCTTTGCATAACACTGTTACTTTACCTAAGAATGTCGCTTTGCATAACACTGTTACTTTACCTAAGAATGTCGCTTTGCATAACACTGTTACTTTACCTAAGAATGTCGCTTTGCATAACACTGTTACTTTACCTAAGAATGTCGCTTTGCATAACACTGTTACTTTACCTAAGAATGTCGCTTTGCATAACACTGTTACTTTACCTAAGAATGTCGCTTTGCATAACACTGTTACTTTACCTAAGAATGTCGCTTTGCATAACACTGTTACTTTACCTAAGAATGTCGCTTTGTATAACACTGTTACTTTACCTAAGAATGTCGCTTTGTATAACACTGTTACTTTACCTAAGAATGTCGCTTTGTATAACACTGTCACCTTACACAGCGCCGTCCCTTTACACAACGCTGCTCTCTGCTGTGTACATATTTTCTACTTGTAAATCTTTGCACTCAACTGCGTACATTTTCTATACTTGAAATTCTTTTCTCTCAACTATGTACACATTCTATACTTGTAATGCATTACTCTAAACTGTGTACATATTCTATATTTGTAAATCTTTGCTCTCAACTGTGTACACATTCTATATTTGTAATTTATTGCTCTCAACTGTTTACATATTCTATACTTGTTATTCTTTGCTCTCAACTATGTATACAATCTATAATTGTAATTCTCTGCTCCCAACTGCACATGTGTACACTTCTATAATTGTAATTCTCTGCTCTCAACTGTGTATACATTCTATACCTGTAATTCATTGCTCTCAAATGTTTACATATTCTATACTTGTAATTCATTACTCCCAACCATGTACATATTGTATACGCGTAATGCTCTGCTCCCAACTGTGTAAACATTCTATGCTTGTAATTCTCCGCTTCCGAATAAGTACACATTCTACACTTGTTACTCTATTCCTGGCAGGCTTTTGCTTCATTGGAACATTTAAAGATCACCTTCCAACTGCGGCGGCACAATCTGCCGTCAAGTCTTTGATTGACTGCGGGGTACACCTGGGGAAGCTACGGAACGGCTACACACTCAGAGGTGACCGGGATTTAGATGGTAACACTGAGTGTCCAGGGACTGCCCTCTACAACGCCATCAAGAGTTGGCCACATTATTAAAGACGTTGGACCCTAGGGTTTCTCGTTTCCCGGGTTATTGCTTACACCGGTGTAGCAGGCCAGAAGATGGCCCTGTCCAGATTAAGCCCGGGCTAGTCTGATCTAGGTTAGAATAAACGCCGACGGTAAAACAGGGGTTAAAATAGCATAGGCCAGATTGTAGCAAGAACACCCCCCCCCCCTTTTCTTTTCCAAGTCAGATTATGAACATTTCGCCCACTTGATAGAGTGGTAAACATATGAATTACTTAATATTTCGACATTTTATTGTGGGGTCAGCTTTCTTAGGTAAGTTTAATTATAAAGCTGAATGGCATAATTCTTATAATTCTGAGGTAAGAAGACACCCCTGCAGGCCAGACTTTACACCTCCAGGCCAGACTTTACACCTCCAGGACAGACTTTACACTTCCAGGCCAGACTTTACACATCCAGGACAGACTTTACATCTCAAGGACAGACTTTACTCTTCCAGGCCAGACTTTACACCTCCAGGCCAGACTTTACACCTCCAGGCAAGACTTTACATCTCCAGGACAGACTTTACACTTCCATGCCAGACTAACCCATCCAGGCCAGACTATACCCATCCAGGCCAGACTATACCCATCCAGGCCAGACTATACCCATCCAGGCTTAGACTATACCCATTTAGGCCAGACTATACCCATCCAGGCCAGACTATACCCATCCAGGCCAGACTATACCCATTTAGGCCATACTATACCCATCCAGGCCAGACTATACCCATTTAGGCCAGACTATACCCATCCAGGCCAGACTATACCTATCCAGGTCAGACTATACCTATCTGACGTGGCAGCCAAACAATATCCAGTAAATTATGAATGAGTTTCGGTAGAGCTGTCAAGTAGGCAAGTAGCCAATGGTCGCTAGAGCTGTCAAGTAGGCAAGTAGCCAATGGTCGGTAGAGCTGTCAAGTAGGCAAGTAGCCAATGGTCGCTAGAGCTGTCAAGTAGGCAAGTAGCCAATGGTCGGTAGAGCTGTCAAGTAGGCAAGTAGCCAATGGTCGCTAGAGCTGTCAAGTAGGCAAGTAGCCAATGGTCGGTAGAGCTGTCAAGTAGGCAAGTAGCCAATGGTCGCTAGAGCTGTCAAGTAGGCAAGTAGCCAATGGTCGCTAGAGCTGTCAAGTAGGCAAGTAGCCAATGGTCGCTAGAGCTGTCAAGTAGGCAAGTAGCCAATGGTCGCTAGAGCTGTCAAGTAGGCAAGTAGCCAATGGTCGCTAGAGCTGTCAAGTAGGCAAGTAGCCAATGGTCGCTAGAGCTGTCAAGTAGGCAAGTAGCCAATGGTCGCTAGAGCTGTCAAGTAGGCAAGTAGCCAATGGTCGCTAGAGCTGTCAAGTAGGCAAGTAGCCAATGGTCGCTAGAGCTGTCAAGTAGGCAAGTAGCCAATGGTCGCTAGAGCTGTCAAGTAGGCAAGTAGCCAATGGTCGCTAGAGCTGTCAAGTAGGCAAGTAGCCAATGGTCGCTAGAGCTGTCAAGTAGGCAAGTAGCCAATGGTCGCTAGAGCTGTCAAGTAGGCAAGTAGCCAATGGTCGCTAGAGCTGTCAAGTAGGCAAGTAGCCAATGGTCGCTAGAGCTGTCAAGTAGGCAAGTAGCCAATGGTCGCTAGAGCTGTCAAGTAGGCAAGTAGCCAATGGTCGCTAGAGCTGTCAAGTAGGCAAGTAGCCAATGGTCGCTAGAGCTGTCAAGTAGGCAAGTAGCCAATGGTCGCTAGAGCTGTCAAGTAGGCAAGTAGCCAATGGTCGGTAGAGCTGTCAAGTAGGCAAGTAGCCAATGGTCGCTAGAGCTGTCAAGTAGGAAAGTAGCCAATGGTCGCTAGAGCTGTCAAGTAGGCAAGTAGCCAATGTTCGCTAGAGCTGTCAAGTAGGCAAGTAGCCAATGTTCGCTAGAGCTGTCAAGTAGGCAAGTAGCCAATGTTCGCTAGAGCTGTCAAGTAGGCAAGTAGCCAATGGTCGCTAGAGCTGTCAAGTAGGCAAGTAGCCAATGGTCGCTAGAGCTGTCAAGTAGGCAAGTAGCCAATGGTCGCTAGAGCTGTCAAGTAGGCAAGTAGCCAATGGTCGGTAGAGCTGTCAAGTAGGCAAGTAGCCAATGGTCGCTAGAGCTGTCAAGTAGGAAAGTAGCCAATGGTCGCTAGAGCTGTCAAGTAGGCAAGTAGCCAATGTTCGCTAGAGCTGTCAAGTAGGCAAGTAGCCAATGTTCGCTAGAGCTGTCAAGTAGGCAAGTAGCCAATGTTCGCTAGAGCTGTCAAGTAGGCAAGTAGCCAATGGTCGCTAGAGCTGTCAAGTAGGCAAGTAGCCAATGGTCGCTAGAGCTGTCAAGTAGGCAAGTAGCCAATGGTCGCTAGAGCTGTCAAGTAGGCAAGTAGCCAATGGTCGCTAGAGCTGTCAAGTAGGCAAGTAGCCAATGGTCGCTAGAGCTGTCAAGTAGGCAAGTAGCCAATGGTCGCTAGAGCTGTCAAGTAGGCAAGTAGCCAATGGTCGCTAGAGCTGTCAAGTAGGCAAGTAGCCAATGGTCGCTAGAGCTGTCAAGTAGGCAAGTAGCCAATGGTCGCTAGAGCTGTCAAGTAGGCAAGTAGCCAATGGTCGCTAGAGCTGTCAAGTAGGCAAGTAGCCAATGGTCGCTAGAGCTGTCAAGTAGGCAAGTAGCCAATGGTCGCTAGAGCTGTCAAGTAGGCAAGTAGCCAATGGTCGCTAGAGCTGT